CGGGGGCACCGCTGCGGGGCCGCCTGCCGAGTTCCCAAGCCAGAATCAAGTGTTACTGGAAGGGGTTTTGATTTTATGGGGCTCTCCTCTTCCAGCTGCCTACTGGAGCCGTACCGCTTGTCTTCAGTGCTTAAAGGGGGTTTGTAAGAAAGACGGGGACAGACTTTTTAGGATAGGACAAGGGGTAACGGTTCTAAACTGAAAGAGGGTAAATTAGATAGAAGGGAGAAATTTTTTACATGATGGTGGTGAAACACTGGAACGGGTGGTAGGTGCCTGATGGTAACATTCAAAGTCAGGCTGGACGGGGCTCTGAGGAGCCTGGTCTAGTTAAAGACATCTCTGCTCACTGCGGGGGCGTTGGACTAGATGGCCTTTAAAAGTCCCTTCCAGCCCAGTGCATTCTGTGATTCCTGAGGCTCCCGTGCCCCCATGTTCAGAGGAGGCCACAAGGATGGTCCAGGGGCTGGAGCACCTCTGCTACGAGGACAGGCTGCCGGAGGTGGGATTGTCCAGCCTTGCAAAGAGAAGACTTCAGGGGGACTTTTTACAAGAGTGTCCACTGATAGGACAAGGGGAAATGGGTTTAATCTAAAGGAGAACAGATTTAGATTAGTTCTTAGGAAGAAATTCTTCAGTACGAGGGCAGCAAGACTTTGGCATAAATTGTCCAGAGACTTTGTGGCTGCCCCCTCCCTGGAGGTGTTCAAGGACAAGTTGGACGGAGCCTTGAGAATCATGATCTAGTTGAGAGGTGTCCCTGCCCGTGACAGGGAGGTTGGACTAGATGATCTTCCAGCCTAGGCCAGTCTATGATTCTTCTCGCTGCTGTTTTATGCACCACACGTTCGGTGTCTTGCGATAGTTTCAGATAAGGTCTCAGTAAGGTTCTCTTCAGAAGAGATTTTGTTAGAGTTCAGCATGGCAGAAGGGATTTTTTTTGTTGCCAGACCTTTACCCAAGGCAAAATGGGCTGGCTCCTGCAGCCCCTGCTTCAGCAACTGCCAGGGGAAAGCCAGATGTGCACGTAGACAGCGGAACAAAAGAGAGAGAGCTCGTTAGGTAATCTTCAGCCATGGTACTTGTAACGGTGTTATTAACGCTCCCAGGCAGAGTGGGAGTTAGTCATTCTGTTTGGGTTTCTGTATAATGAATATGACACTACAATTATGCTCTCTGGTTTTACTTACCTTATAAATGAGAATGAATCATAGAATCACAGAACGGCCTAGGCTGGAAGGGACCTTAGAGATCGTTTAATCCAACCTCCCTGTCGTGGGCAGGGACACCTCTCAGATCAGGCAACACATGGGGACCGAGCGGGGATCGAACCTGTGACCTTGGTGTTATCACCACCACGCTCCAACCGACTGAGCTAACCAGCCCCCCTAAAGTGAAGTTGCTGAATTATCCGAGGAGATGCTTCTTCATTTTTTGAGTAACATTTGTGTGTGTGCATAGGGCTTGTCTGTATAATCATTAAAAAAACCCCAATGCTGTAGTTTTCTAGGGGGAAAAAAAAAAAAACCACACAAAAATGCCACTTTAAAACATTTTTGAGCAAAGGAGGATACCTGGAGTCAGACTTCTAGGGGGAAAAAAAAAAACCCCACACAAAAATGCCACTTTAAAACGTTTTTGAGCAAAGGAGGATACCTGGAGTCAGACTTAGTATGTGCAGGTTAAAGTTGCAGTTACTGTAATGAAGGGAAGAAACCCCAGAAATCCCAACTGTTGTACAAAGCTTCAGAAACTAAAAGAAGCAAAAAAAAACCCCCCAAAACAAAATACAGTTCCTAATCTTTCTGAAAGGTTTGGGGTATTTTTTGCATTTTAGAAAATCTACCTGTCCTTAAAAAAAACAGGATCTTTCAGTCATGCACTAACCCTTTAACATAACAGCTACATGCTTTTGAGCAGCAAAGACTCTCTTTCACTTCCCGAATTGCTCTGTGAAGGAAAAGGTTTTGATACGTCTCTGTCATCAGGATTGATCCTACACTTAAAAAAATGGAGTAAACAGCTGAGAAAGTACTGATGCTGAGTTTGGCTTCCCTGGGCTTTATTACCATTACAATGAGAGAGCAGAATATGATTTATTTTGCCAAGGTGCCCAAAACTCTATCTTTTCCTTGAATCACAGAAGAAGTTGTAGCTGGGATAACCTTTGGGAAAACCTTCAGAGAAGAGCTTTCTCTAGTAATTGCCCACTGAGGAAATGCAAACTGTTAAAAAGCTAAATTTTATTAATGTAAAAAATTAGGATAATGAGAGATAATTTCAAATAATTATTTCTTTACAAACACAAAATCGTATTAATTTTAAATTTGCTTACTGTATAACCGAATTCCTACAGAGTTGGTTGGGGTGGGAATTGGGTTTGGCCCTGCCGGTGAAAATATCTCAGAAAAACTTTTATGTCCTTGAGAAAGGCTCAGGGTTAATTTACATATTGTTTGATGTGCAGTTTAATTTTGGATAAGAGAAAACGTTGCTTAATCAAAGCTACTGTAAAACATAAGCTGAAGAACAAATTCCCAGAAACTGATGAATACTTTTTAAGTAGTCGTTGCTCTCAAATTATATCTAATTTAAAGACTTGTACTTTATTAATGATGCATCTGCAATTAAATTACTTAAGAAGCTTTATCAGATTAGAGCATTAGCCTGAATTCTGTGGCTTAGCCTTCGGTGAATATATTTATGTATCTCTCATTATAGCACTCTCACTAGAAGCTTCGCCATTCGTCATTCTTATGCTCCTTTGTTTCTGTTTTGCCCTTTTATTAAAAAATAAAAATAAAATCTGGGACTGGAACACTTCATGCTGTACTTCAATTTGAAAAATGTAGTGGGAAAAAAATGGAAAAAAATTACCCTAATTATTTAGCACTTTTATTTCTCAAAACTGCAAGTCCATCTTTTCCCAGCTCCTAAGATCAGGAGTGTTAATCGGCAGAAATGAAACTCATCCCAAGTGGTCAGGTTGCTGAGGGAACTACTGAATATTTGGAAGATAAATGAAGAAAACACTAAATGAATGAATGAATAAGCAGGGTGTTGCAGATACAGAACCTAAGGGGCTAAACGTCAATGAAGACACAAAATCATACTTTTTTCTGTTGTTCTTAGCGTCACCATAGCGAAAAAGGCTTAGAGCTGCTGATAGCAGATGTAGAAAAATTACTTTCCTGTGAAATAATTTTTCTCTGCAAAGTGTTACCACTGCTCTTTAAGATGTGGGTGTGCGGTCTGTCTGTCCGGTCGGATGCCAAGGGAAGCCTTTCTCTGTAAGATCATGACTCCCACGTGGCAGGGAGATGGGGAACACCCCAGTGAAACGCGCAAAGTCACATATTTGAATCTAGCGAGAAGCAGAAAGCAAAAGCTGGTTAATCGGAAGACGTCCTATGCTTTTCAAAAGCGCGGGGAAGTGGGGTTCCCCGTTGTGTGTGCTGTTTTCACTCTGAAAACCCAGAGGCGGGGTGCCCCCCGCCCACTGAACGCAGCCTTCTTCTTCTCCGTAGGTGCACGGCAGGAATTTACTGTCCATTGACTATGACCGGAACATTCGCACGGAAAAAATCTATGACGATCACCGGAAATTTACGCTGCGGATCATTTACGATCAGCTCGGACGCCCTTTCCTTTGGCTGCCCAGCAGCGGCCTGGCTGCCGTCAACGTGTCTTATTTCTTCAACGGGCGCCTGGCCGGGCTGCAGCGCGGCGCCATGAGCGAGAGGACGGATATCGATAAGCAGGGCCGGATCATCTCGCGCATGTTTGCAGATGGGAAAGTCTGGAGCTACACCTATCTCGAAAAAGTAGGTGGTGTTGATTGACCTTCTGACATTACAGAGACAAAAAATTGACGTTTGGCTTCATTCTAAGTTCCATACGTAACGTACGCAAATTATCTGAATTTTTAGGTGTTCCAGCTGTTAAGAGTCCCTTTGTACCTGGTCTCAAAATTCCTTAGGCGTTGATTAACCTTCTGACATTACAGAGGCTTCATTCTAAGTTCCGTACGTAACGTATGCAAATTATCTGAATTTTTATATGTTCCAGCTGTTAAGAATCCCTTTGTACCTGGTCTCAAAATTCCTTAGGGTTCAAAAACGCAACTGAATTTGACTAATTTCTAATGGGAAATATGTTGTGTCTTCTGGTATTTTCCTGAAAGCAGCTAGGCTGCAATATAATGGCGTAAATTAACGCAATGAATTGTGCTTAAGACTGTAAATGCACAACTAAACCTGACAAAAGATTCAGATAGAACAGGTAATTTATCTTTATCATTATTTATTAAATGAAAATACAGTAATGCATTTTTACTTAGCCTAATTAAGACACTTCAATCACAGAAGTGTCTTACTTCAAAATTCCGTATTATTTTCCTTTTCCCTTCCTTGACTCTGTTGCTTTAAGCAGACCAGAGCTGATGTTTCTCTGCTCAGTTTCTCCCATATTTCACAGTCATATTTGCGAATTACAACTGCTAGCAGAAAGATAAATGAAGTAATTTGTCTAATGCTTCTGCATCCCGCAGAAAAAGGAAAGCAAAAAGCTCCTACCGAAGGGAGAGTAGCTAACAGATTGCTAACCTACACTTTCTCTGGACTGTCAGCCTATTGATTTCCAAGTAGCAGATCCTCTTATCTGGCAACCTGACAATATTCCCAAGCAGCTCTGTGCCCCTCACTAGCGGATCTAATTCTCTTTTTATTCATTTATCAGTAGTGCCTCTTCAGCAAACTTTGCTTTAATACCTTCTTAGAGGTCATATGCTTAAAGCAAGTAATGGCGGAGTAATTTTTTTCCCCTGTAGTCGATGGTCCTGCTGCTTCAGAGTCAACGACAGTACATCTTCGAGTACGATTCTTCCGACCGACTTCACGCCGTCACCATGCCCAGCGTTGCGCGGCACAGCATGTCAACTCACACCTCCATCGGCTACATCCGAAATATTTATAATCCTCCTGAAAGCAACGCGTCGGTGATTTTTGATTACAGTGACGATGGGAGGATTTTAAAAACATCATTTTTAGGTACTGGCCGACAGGTCTTCTACAAGTACGGAAAGCTCTCCAAATTGTCTGAAATTGTTTACGACAGCACCGCAGTTACTTTTGGCTATGATGAAACTACGGGTGTCCTAAAGATGGTGAATTTGCAAAGTGGGGGGTTTTCTTGTACAATCCGCTATCGTAAAGTCGGTCCTCTCGTTGACAAGCAAATCTACAGATTCTCGGAAGAAGGTATGGTCAACGCAAGGTTCGATTATACGTATCATGATAACAGCTTTCGAATCGCAAGCATCAAACCCATCATAAGTGAGACGCCTCTCCCAGTTGATCTTTACCGTTACGATGAGATTTCTGGCAAAGTGGAGCATTTTGGCAAATTTGGAGTTATTTATTACGACATAAATCAAATCATTACCACCGCAGTTATGACCCTGAGCAAGCACTTCGATACCCACGGGCGCATTAAAGAAGTGCAGTATGAAATGTTCAGGTCCCTGATGTACTGGATGACTGTGCAATACGACAGCATGGGAAGGGTGACGAAAAGAGAACTGAAACTCGGTCCGTATGCCAACACGACCAAGTATACCTACGATTACGACGGAGATGGGCAACTGCAAAGCGTAGCGGTAAACGACAGGCCGACCTGGCGCTACAGTTACGATCTGAACGGGAACCTCCATCTCCTGAACCCCGGCAACAGCGTCCGATTGATGCCTCTGCGCTACGACCTAAGAGACAGGATTACACGCCTGGGTGACATCCCGTACAAAATCGATGACGATGGGTTCCTGTGTCAGCGAGGCTCCGACATGTTTGAGTACAACTCCAAAGGACTCTTAACGAGAGCTTACAACAAAGCAAATGGGTGGAGCGTTCAGTACCGTTACGACGGACTCGGCCGAAGGGCTTCCTGTAAGACCAACCTGGGGCATCACCTGCAGTACTTCTACGCTGATCTTCACAATCCGACGAGGGTGACTCATGTCTACAATCATTCCAATTCCGAAATCACCTCTTTGTACTACGATCTGCAAGGCCACCTCTTTGCAATGGAGAGTAGCAGCGGGGAAGAATATTATGTCGCCTCGGATAACACGGGCACTCCGTTAGCCGTGTTCAGCATCAACGGTCTCATGATCAAACAGCTTCAGTACACGGCTTACGGGGAGATTTATTATGACTCTAACCCTGATTTCCAGCTGGTGATTGGGTTCCACGGAGGGCTGTATGATCCTTTAACCAAACTCGTCCATTTTACCCAGAGGGACTATGATGTCCTGGCTGGACGCTGGACGTCTCCTGACTACACCGTGTGGAAAAACATTGGTAAAGAACCCGCTCCTTTCAATCTGTACATGTTCAAGAGTAACAACCCTCTCAGCAATGAGCTGGATCTAAAGAATTACGTGACAGGTGAGTCTTATGTTTCTTATAACACTAAGTTTGGAAGTGGATTTGGGAAAGAAATGAGACTTCTCCTTACTAGCCATTTGCTGAATCCCTTCCGTCAAGGTTGGGCCATTTTCCTTTTTGTCTTATGAAGAGGGCTCGTTCTTTGATGCTGCTCCTCACTAAATGAGAAGCCACAAGGAATTATCGGGGAGGTGAGGGGAAATTCTGCCTAAACATTCAGTTTCGGCACAGCCATAGTGCTCTTCCTGTGGGACCAGTTCCGTATGAAGATGTGTTCATTCTAATTTTACGTAACAAAAAGAGAAGTCTCCTGCAAGAATCACTAGCAGGTGAGTTGCAGAATCAGAAACGAGAACTGCTCAGCACCTCTTCCCTTCAGGACTATTTTCAGCATTAACTGCTGACTAAGCCTGTGGGCACCTTATGAATTAGCACCAAGAAGGGATTTAATTAAACCTCTTTTTCGCTGTTTAACTTCTAATATGCAAACAATCTTTAGTCTTTTAAACAAAAATCTTGATGTTTTCCAGAATTATTTCCTCCTGAAAGACTAAGAAACGTTGTGGAATATGTAAAACTGAGAAAGAGAAATGATAAAGTACTTTTGATCACGTATGTTACAATTGGGCAAATCTTGTAACCTCTTCTTAATTAGTAATAATTTTTCCCTTAGTAAGATCACACAGTACTTGAACTAGCTGTTGGCAATTTCTAAAAAGGAAGGTAATTAATACGTCTTCAGGAAAAGCTTTTTTTCAGAACTGAATATGCAGTCTACAATAATTAGAGCAGCGGTACCATTTTTTTGGAAGGATCTATCTTAATTTTAATGGTTATTTGAATTTTAAGAAAAGTTTGTATTTCCCTCAAGAAAATCATAGCAAGTTTCGTTAGTATGCTGGGACCTAATTGTATGTGTAACGCACATTAGGATAACATTTTGTTGACCTAAATTCAACAGAATTCCTATTTCCATCCACCACTGCCTAACTTAGATTTTCAGTGTCTTCTTACAATATTTTGTTACGTTCTGAAATTGCATTCACTTAATTTATCCGTCCACTGGATGAAATCTGGGAAGATATGTTGCATTTTGTTATAACATGCACCTTGTAGTTTGAAAAATACTTATTTGGTGATGAACATAATTTGTTGCTGTATGGACTAAACAGATTATCTTGCACAAGCCGTGATCACGTTGGCACCTTGGTTGTCACAGCTTAAAAAAAAGAAACGAAATACAGTAAACAAAATACTTTCCCAGCCCAATCCATTCTTACTCAAGGAATTCCTGTAGCAAAGGAGCACATTAGTTAAACAGAATAGTAACTACATTGTATATAGGTCCTTTTTTTGCAAAATTAGAGCAGCTGAAGTGAATTGTTTGGGAGCTACCATTATACCATAAAATAAATTGAAGCCTTAAAAAGGAGTAGTAACCCTGCGCTGTCCTAGGCTACAAGAAGGCTATGGTAGGCACTCTGTGGTGGGAGGTACAAACAAGTTCTTCATAGAAGCAGAGCATTTTACTGTGTATTTTAGTTTCAGAATGGCTGAGAGAAGGCGGCTTTGGCTCTCAGATGCCCACAACCAAGAAGTACTGTATCTTTTTGTGATTCAGTATTACCTCTGCTAAAAATTTTGAGAAAATCAGGCTTTGCAACAGCAAGGAGGTGCCGTGCTGCGGCACATGTTGTGTTAAAACATAATTTTGGTAACTGAAATACATTATTGGTTCTTAATACCCACTGAGTGAGAATTACTGTTAGTAATTTAGTTACTTGGCTTGTTCAGCCAGATACACAGACAGTGTTCCACTGGTCGAACCCAGAGCTAGAACTTTCCAAAGCTCACCCCAGAGCCCAGCTGTGACCCTCCCATGCAGCTCCTACTTTTCCATACTGGCCCTGGAGGGACGGGGAGGATATTCATGGTGCCTAAATTTAGACATCAGAATTACAAGTCTAGCTTCTCATCACGTTTAGTGGAGCCCCCCCGAGACCTGAAGACAGCTAATAGAAGAACTAGGACATAGAAGAGAAGTCGTGTATTTCCCCAAAGGACTTTGCAGATGTTTTTAGGATTACTAACCTAATAAAACATCATTTTACGATACAGTTTACAGGTTACTTGAGCCACATCAGAAGGTATCAGAGATGAAACAAGTATTGCATATGGTAAAATGTTTGGATAATCCATACACTGTAATGGAAAAAGAATGAAAGAGGTGGCATGTCCGTGATGAACTATCTAGGGTAAATTTAAAGCAATTTTTTTCTGTGCCTGTTCATGGTGAATTACTACAATACCATAAAGTGCCATGCTGTAATATAAATGATGAGTTCCACTGCTACTTGAAATTAAGGAGGTAAAGGATGGATTTCCTGAACTTTTTGATTTCCTCTATTTAGTACACACATTCATCTCTCACTTGCCTGCTTACTTTTCATTTTTAGATGTCAAAAGCTGGTTGGTGATGTTCGGATTTCAGCTTAGCAACATTATTCCTGGTTTCCCTAGAGCAAAAATGTATTTTGTGTCACCGCCATACGAGTTGTCTGAGAGTCAAGCATGTGAAAACGGACAGGTAGGCAGAAATATGCAGAAATTATTTTTCTTGATAAATTTGCCCCACTCCATGAATAGAACTGCTGTCTCCTGTGTAGTTACAGCAGAAGGCCAAGTATTTATTTCAATGTAAAATGGAGTATAGCTAGATTCTATACTAATGAACATATGTCTTTCTTGCCAGCCTTCGTTGTTATCATAATTACAGTGTCATTAGCTTGTCTTTTATTGAGTTCTTCCTTGATTAACAAGTTGTAACTCGATTAACTTGATTAGCAGTGACAAAGGGGGACTTTGTCAGGGTAATTTATCATCTGTTGTACCTTTGGTGAAACCATCTAATAACATACATGCTGCAAGAAACTTAGGCTGGTCCTTGCTGTACTGCTAAGAAATGATATTCTTCTCACCCTGTAATAGGATTTCTCGTCTTTTTTTTTTTTTTTTGTCTGATGCTTTTCATAGTTAGAGGCTGTAGTTTGCTACTCCAGTTACTCCAGTTAACTTCAGTTACAGCAATTATACTGAACTGTCAGGTTAAGGATGGGAAATGGTAAATGCTTTTGACCATTGTAATGATTTCCAGCCCATTTTATAAACTTGGAAGAGTACTAGGCTAGTTCCAAACCTAGTCTTTGCTAGTCAAGTTTGTGGTAACACAACGGAAATGGTCATATAAACATACCACGTTCACAGTTTTCTAAGTCATTTGAGAGTCTAAATCCCCTCTTCAGAAATTCCTTTAGTATTTTGAAGCCCATATCTGTTTTCAAAAAGACGTCCATTCACAAGCATTATAACCATAGGTTCTGGTTGAAATCTCTGGGCAAAAGTGTTAACGTGGAAGTTAGGTGCCATCCTTTAGTAGATCGATTCTGCTTGTTTCCAGCCCTGATTAAAATTGTGCTAGAGTTGGGTCTTTCTTGTTCTTCTAATGAACATTTGCCAAAATAGAGACTTGTGGTGCGCACATCCTACAAAGGGTGATTAAGGAGAAGTAGTTTATTTGATATTCCTGATAGCAAAAAGTGGTTTGCCAAATGAGTCCTTCCGTGATTCTGAGTGGGCTATGTAAATGATGGGTAACTGAGGGTGGTCTTTCTGTAGTATAGAATTTTTCACTGCCTGACGTTCCTTCAAAAAATCAAAGGCAAGATTTAGGACTGGTCTCTGAAATGAGTATTTTCAGATCTATATCTTCTTCTTTGGTTGTTTTTTTGCTTTGTTTTGCTTTCCCCAGCTAATTACAGGCGTTCAGCAGACAACGGAAAGACACAACCAAGCTTTCATGGCTCTCGAGGGCCAGGTCATATCTAAAAGATTACATGCCAGCATTAGAGAGAAAGCAGGTCACTGGTTCGCCACCACCACGCCGATCATCGGGAAGGGAATCATGTTTGCCGTGAAGGAAGGCCGTGTCACCACCGGCATCTCCAGCATAGCCACGGACGACAGCCGAAAGGTCGCCTCTGTCCTTAACAGCGCTCACTACCTGGAGAAAATGCACTACAGCATCGAGGGGAAGGACACCCACTATTTCGTCAAGATAGGCTCAGCCGACAGCGACCTCGTCACCCTCGCGCTCACCAGCGGGCGGAAGGTCCTGGAGAGCGGCGTCAACGTCACCGTCTCGCAGCCCACTCTGCTAGTCAACGGCAGGACTCGAAGGTTTACGAACGTTGAGTTTCAGTGTTCCACCCTGGTGCTCAGCATCCGCTACGGACTGACCCCCGAGACGCTGGACGAGGAGAAGGCGCGAGTGCTGGAGCAGGCTCGGCAGCGAGCGCTGGCGTCAGCCTGGGCCAAGGAGCAGCAGAAGGCGCGGGACGGGCGCGAGGGCAGCCGCATATGGACAGATGGAGAGAAGCAGCAGCTTCTGAACACGGGAAGGGTGCAAGGTTACGAGGGATATTACGTCCTGCCCGTGGAGCAGTACCCAGAGCTAGCAGACAGTAGCAGCAACATCCAGTTTTTAAGACAGAATGAGATGGGAAAGAGGTAACAAATTAACCTGCTGTCATCCTTTGCTGGATGGATCAGTAGTCGTAACTGTTATCTCCTCTCCTAAGGAGATGAAGACCTAAATGGGGGCACTAGGCTGAGCTACTCTGGGATAGTTAAGTGGCAAAAAAGCTCATATTTTTTGAGTTAAATGCTACTGTTCAAGTGATTAAAAACCACATCCTGAAGTGGACTAAAGCCAGACTGAAAACTCTTAACCGTAAAAATTAAAAAGTACCCCTGAAATATTACCCACTTGTTCTGGGTCTAAAGAAAAAACAAAAAGAAGGCCTCGTATTGTATTACCTCACTCCATTCACACGTGAGCAAACTAAGAAATCCAAGTGGGCCACTTTCACTGACCAGCTGATGAAACACTGATGATTCAGACTGCTTGTTTGATAAATATCCAAGAGGTTTTCATTTAAAGCAAAATACAGGTGCATTTAAAACATGACTTTGGGGTGATTTGTGTGTAGCAACTGGAGGACAATAAGAATGCAAGTGAGAGCGCACTGGAAACAGGAAAGAAAAATATATTTAAAAGTTCCAAAACCACACTTGCACTCTGACCCTCCGTTTGTCTGGCCTGAAGCTTAACTTATTCAAAGAGGGCAGAGTGTAATGGTACGTTCAAAATGGTGGCTATAAATCACTACAGATAAATTTCATACTCTGTTTGTCTTTGAAGATTTCCATTGTGGACAGTATAACACAGTTACAGGGTGTAGTCTGTTTAGATTCAGTAGTTTGTTGGTATCAGTTCCAGTAGAGCTGTGGGCATTGTGTGTATTTTACACTATTGCAAATGGGCACCACGTCAGATCACCCTGTACATACATCAGCCAGAAGGCACAATCACTGTTTCAGATTTAAAAATTATTAGTGTGTTTGTTTGGTCGAGAAACTGAGACAATCACATTACAGTCACCATGAGAAAAGGAAAAAAAAAAAAAGAAAAAAAGTCTAATAAGAACTTTGGTACAAGAACTTTTTTGTAATATACATGTATGAATTGTTCATTGAGTTTTTATATTAATTTTAATTTGCTGCTAAGCAAAGACTAGAGACAGGCAAAGATAATTTATGGCAAAGTGTTTAAATTGTTTATACATAAATAAAGTCTCTAAAACTCCTGTGAATTACTTGTCTTCCATTCTGAAATCTCTTGAAAATGAAAAAATGTTAGTGCCTCACCGTCATCTAATGCACACAGCACCTTCTATGTCAAAATGACTTGCTCTTCTTGTACCGTGGATTCTACAGAGGGCTGGTCCTTTGATCTCTGAGTAAGAAAAAAGTCCTACACGTGCGTCACCCAAAACCCTGTTTGGGACACAGCAGAAAAATTGGGAAATGCTTTAGAAATTCCCCCTCCGCACCTCTATGACTAGCAGCCCTCAAACTGCCATGTTTCAGTCCTGGGATTAATTTAATTGCACTAAAGTAACATCCGAACAATTTGAAAATACAGTAATATCACATTAAATGGGACATGGGAGGCTGTGCTGTGAGCCGGGAAGTCTCCGCGAAATCCATCGTCTTTGGAGATTGCTTATTTCTGCCACGTTTAAAAACGGGAGGTAAGATCAAAGACCCTCTCCTAAGCAAACAGTCACTCCTGATGGTGTTAAAAGGGAGCCATCCGTCAGGCAGAGCCCCGCTGCTTTTATCTCGTTTGTGGCTGGGGAGCTCTACTTAATTTTGAGCACAGTTTTGCTTTTGGGGTTGCAAATGAGGCTTTTAATGATTCATGATATCGACAGAGATGCTCGAGTTGATTATGGGCATCAATTCCCTCCAGGGCATTTTTAAAGCGGAACAGTTCAGGGGCTCTGTCGTGTAACACCTGTAGCACTCGGAAAGGGCATCTCATTTTTGCCAACAGAAGCTGTCCCCTTCTGACCGGAGCCTTCCCCCGACGTGTCTGCCTGACGCAGCGCACGCACGGGAACCCTGTTACTCATCCTCTGAAGGATGAGTGTGGGTACATTTTCAGATGAAGTCATGTATATCCATCACTGCACTCGTGTTGAAATGCTGCTACGTTATCAGACTGTCCTTTACAAGTGTAACCTCTTAAATAAGTATTATTTCTTTTTTTTTTCTTTTTTTTTTCCCTTATGGAGGCATAAAACATGAAATCACCAGGTGGAGACATTTCGTGCTATCACGGTTTTTCTGGATTACCCTTGCCCTGTATTGGTAAGCTGCTTAGGTTTGTTTTGATTTTTTTTCTAATGGAATTTTTCTTGCAGTTGAGAGGATTGAAATGAGAACCTGTTTGCATGGTCCCCAATATCCTTTATTCTGTTACCAGTTCTTCTGAGGCTGAAACTCTTTCGAATTAGCGATTCTGCTGCTTCCAAAGGAAATTCAGTTAAACTAAAACCAGATGGAGAAGCAGCATTAGGGTACGGTTTGTTGGTTTTTTTCCTGTTGGATTGAGGTGACTGAAGGAATTCGATATTTCTTAACCTTGCATTTCAGCTTGAAAAAACTGTTTTGCTTCCTGACTTAGCCTAAAGCCTCGGACTTTAGACGTAGGGCTTGTGTCTCACACCCTGCCCAGCACCACCACTGGTGTTTTGCCTCTCGAGGTGGCACTCCAGGGCTTTTTGGCCACATGATGGCAGTTCTGCCCATTAGACACTCAGAGGCAAGGGCTGTCGCCTCCTTGAGTGGCCTTGCCCACAGCAAGTCTCTTCCAAGCAAAGGCACCAACAGAAGTTTCTCCTAAAGCTGGACCAGAGCAACTGATCAATGGCATCCTCCTGGGAACAAATGCAGGGAAGGAAGCATTTGGACTCTGGGGTTTTTTCTTTGCTAGCTGGAGTGCAAGGGCTGACACGTGCACACGCGCCGTGCTCTGAGCATGTGCAGAGCCAGTGTGAAACCTGCACGGGAGCCCAGCTCTGGTGGTGTTATTGTTCCATTGGTTATTGTAGCTTCTGAGAAGTTTCCTGCCAGGAAGGAATGTGCCAACAGCATTCTGCCTCTCTAGTATTACCCGGTAAGTCCCTGATCTTCCTGTAGCCCAGGCTCACCATCGGTGTAAAAGCAGAAGAGCTAGATATCCCTCATCTGCTCTGGACATGACCATAGCACCTCCTCATGTTCGTTGGTCAACGTTTCCTGTGTAAACACGCATCAGCCCTCCCTGGGAATCCAAACAAACCACATCAGAGCTGAGTGCCATTCAATAATTTGCTTTAACTGCTTTGTGCTATGATTTTTGTCAGACTCGCCCTGTTGCCAAGTCTTGCAAGCAGTCTGTGGTGACTGAACACGGGGGATACATTAAACATTCAGCTTTGGGGATATATTAAACATTCAGCTTTGAGGCTACAGCCCTAGGAAACTCAAAAGGTAAAGTTTCTGTTGCCCTGTCATACTGTCCTGTGTTCAGCTGGTGATCTTGCCTGAGAACCACGTGTTAAGGTCAGTCACATACTCAGGTGGCCTTTGCTGTGCAGCCATTAAAAGGTAAGATCTTACTCTACTAAGGTAGGCTGGCCGTAAAAGTCTTACACCATCCAGACGTTAAGCACGAGGCCCTTAATCTCAGGAAATACAGGTGTTTTTCTGGAAGACAAGACCTTCTACAGCTATAATTTTTTCTTCTCCGAGGAGGAACTAAGAGTAGATGTCCCTGGGCAATTTTGAACATTGAGATGGGAACTGGGGCTTTACTAGCCAGCTGTAGAGTTTAACAGGCTTCCTGGCTTTAGCTAACCCCTCTGCCTCTCAGCTGCCTCTGAGCTTTTCTGCCGATAAGGAAAGGTCCTTCCCAACCTCTTCAGCTACAGCCTGAAATAAAGGGGGTTTTTATTTATTTACAAGGATTACTTAATTTAAACTTAATTGCATCCGCCACTCCTCTGGAATCAAATTCCCTTCTCCACCTCAGTGGCACCGATTGCTGAGGGCTGCACGCTCACAGAAGAGTTTAAGACAGGTTCATCGACTGCCACGGTACAGCTGCAAAAGACATTTTACTTGCCAGATCTTTAGCTTTGCAGAGAGAACTTTAACAGCCTTACAGTCACTTTCAGCCCATGGAAGACATTGAAGGAGTGCTGGCTCCAGGCGGTGACTCCATTGGGCAGCAGCTGTCCCAATGTTGGTAGGTACCAGTGTATATACATTATATGCTGCAACTGCTCGTTTCAGTCCATAATATCTATGTAATTCTCTCTCCTTTGCCATGTCTGTCTGTTATCTCCCTAATAAAGAGCTTTATGCAACATGCTTGAAAATGGAAGTACTGTTAGCAGTGTCAAAACACAAACTCCCCTGTGTTGATAAAGCCTCTCCTGTCTAACCCAGCGCAGCAGTGCTGGGCAGATCTGCAATTGTGGCCACGAACCGTATGTGTCTGCAGCACCATCTGAGCAGTCGTTACCTGAGCTACTCCGAGGAGCTCGCGGTGTTTAACAAGCAGCCAATACTGGGTCACTCATCATCACAACATGCTGTGCAGCACCCCCGCAGCTGGACCCATCACACTGAGGAGCTAAATTAGTGATTGTAATTGCAGCTGACCAAGAGCTCACTATGTCAGCTCAGCCTCCCCACCACCAGCACCACAAATAAATAAAACCCAAGGGGCGGAAGCGCTGGTGCGATGTGCTCAGGTACCCAAGTCGTGTTCAGCCAGATGACTAGGAAAGGGTTTGGCAGAGAAGGCAGGGGCTCAACCAGCCAGACTCTCCCACACATCGTTTGGGCGGCTGACTGTGAGCACCTGCCGTGCTGCAGGCTCGTCAACCTCTGCAGACACAGCCCCGAGAGCCACTTTTCCATCTGGGGAACGTGTGGGGTTTGCATCAAGGCAAGACTTGGTGCCCCAGCAGGTCCCTTGCACCCACCCATGTGCTTCAGTTCACCTGCAGCTCAGCAAGTGCCACCAGCCCTGCCCAGACTTCTCTGCACCTCCTGTGGCAGCACTGGGGTGTTCTCTTTCCAGAAGTTCTGCGGCAACTCTTCACAGGATACGTATAATGCAATGAGTTAGGCTTTCCCTTATTTCCTTGTTCGTTCAAATATTTTTGTAGCGTCTTAGGCTCTACTGAGGATTTAGTGGTTCTGGGGTTAGAGTCAGGCTATTTCTGTAGTGCTTTTGAGCCAAGGGAAAAAAAAAAAAAAGCAAGTAATAAAGTAAAATGTGGTAAAAACACCATGGGAGAGAGCTGTGTGCCAGCTTTCAGAGAGAAGCAAGTGAATGCAGCCAATTTAAAAATCCTTCACAAATAGGATTTACAATGGAAGTGGCAGTTAAGCCATCATGAGTACAGAAGGTGGCAGGCACTATACTGTAACACTGTCCGTGCTGTGTTACAGCAGCTCAACAGTATTGCTGTTGGAGAAATTATATTTACAGAAGTTTTACATCTTTAGATGAAAGCTTCTGGCAGGCTTTAGTCTAATTTTGTGGTTGTGTATAAAAAGAAAAGCTGCCAGCAGAGCTGTGTTGGCTGTACTGCTGCTGTTCTGCTAAAGCCCAGGCCTCGTGACTGATTCAAATACCTCTCCATCCCCAAACTTCATTAACTGAAGCAATCATGTAAATGAAAGTAAAATATTAAGAAATATTACTTAGTGCTGTGAATTAGTAACCCAACTATTTAATTTCTAGTGGGCAGCAACAGTCAATGACTCAGTAGGCTCTTCTTGATAAATGAGGCTTTTTCATCTGTCAAAAGCCCTTCCTATGGATAAAAAGTCAGATTCCTGTTTGCCTCTGTGGGCTGCGCTGATCTTTTCGACGAGATCCCCATCCTAATGCTTTTGTCTCTGCCCAGGTGGGGAAGGTGGGCCTTTAAAAAGCCCGTCATAAGGTAGCTGAGACGAGTTTTCACAGCACAGGGCCCTTACTAAAAAGCAGGGGTGGTGTGGGTGGAGGCTGATGGAGGGCTGGAGCTCTTTTTAGGTTTCAGAGGGTCCCAGGGCAGGTGAGGCTAACCTGCTGTTAAGAGCAGGGTCTCGGTGCCATGTCCAGCTGGGTTTTGAGTATCTTCAGGGATGGAGATCACAGCCTCTCTGGGCAATCTGTTCCAGTGCTCAGTCACCTTTACAGTAAGATTAGTATTTCTTACATTCAACCAGAATTTTCTGCATTTCTGCCTGTGGCTATTGCCAT